GATCTAGATCTGGATCTGGATTTATCGCCGATGGCCGCCAGCGCCAGCGTCGGAAAGGGCGGCGCCGGGCAGGCACCGGTGGAGGATGTGGTGGCGGCCCCTCTGGTCGGGGGAGGGGGCGGCGGCGGCGGTGGAAGCAAGCGGAGCAAGCGCAGCGCCGCCGTCAAGCTGTCTCTGACGGATCTGTACGGCAAGGAGAGCGGTGGCCCCGTTGCCGCGACAGCGGAGGAAGAGGAAGGGGGCGAGTCGGTGCAGCCGGACGGTGGGTCCCAGAGGGGGGAAAGGGCGGCGGCGGCGCCGCCGTCGCCGCCACCACCTGGCGGCGGCGGCGCGTGGCGGGATTCTGCCTCAGTGCCCTTTGCCGTACGGCCTGTTTGGGAATGCGATGACGCGGCGCCGTACAACGGTTTCCCAGCGTCAGGAGCGAGCCAGGGCCTTATGATCGCGCCAGGGCGGTCCTCGTCGGTTGAGCAGGCAGCTATCAGCGCCATGGCGGGTGGTGGTGGCGCCGCCGCCGCCGCCGCCGCCACAGCGACGCCACCCCGGCCGTCGGTGGCGGTGACGGAGGAGGACTTCCCGTCCCTGGTTCCCTTGAGCCTGTCTGAGGGGCCTATGGGGGATAAGGCCCGTGACCCGATCATTCGGGCCCTACAACTACTAAAGGTGGGCTCCTAATGCGTGTGTGGGGGGGAGGGGGAGGGGGGGAAAAGAGGAAAGGAGGGGCAGAGGTGGGTAATCACTGCCACAATTGCGCCGTACACGCCACAATTGTGCCGTTCAACCACACACCCGCCTGCAGCATTCGTTGTTTCCTGGCGTCTTTGGCCGCCGTTGTGTATCTCGATATGCCCAACCCCCCCAACCCCCCCAACCCACCCGCAACACCCCACCCGCCCACCACCCGCTTACTGGCCAGGTCCCGGGCACCGACATCCTCACCCCGCACCTGCTCCTGGAGGGGCCCTGCCTGCGCCACCTCTACACCGTCCTCTTCCGCGGCAGGAGCCGCATCGCCGACGTGCAACTCCGTGCCGTACTCGATCGGTACGGCGGCATGACGGCGTTTCAGTCGTTTGAGGATGGCGCCGCCGTCGCGGCGAGTTTTCGAGACGAGGGTACGGCTTCGGCGGTGGCGGCTGGGCTCGGCGCCGGCGACGCGGTGGGCCTTATGGGTCCCGGTAGCCTGGGGGGATCCGGCGGGCTCGAGGTGAGCTGCCTGCTGGAGTTCCCCTCCGATGATACCCTGGCCCGGGAGATTATGCAGGCAGATCGTGCGGCGGCGGGGGGCTCTGGTTTCGGAGCAGGTGGTGGCTTAGGCGGCAGCAAGGTCTATGGCCTGGAGCTGGGTTCGAATCTGAGGGCCAACGCGGCGCCGTTTGTGCTGGCAGGCGCTGCGAAGGTGACGGCGGCGCCCGCGCCCGCGGCGGATCTGCAGCCGCCGCCGCCACGGCAGATGGCGGCAGCGGCGGCGCCGCCGCGGGTGGCCGTTACGGAGGTAGGAGTTGAGGTGAAGGATACGGAACGTCTGGCTAGAGATGACACGGATGTCCGTACAGCTGCAGCGGCGATGCAGGCGATGGCTTGCTCGACGACGCTCCAGGCCGGCCATGGCGTGACCGGGACGTGTACGGCTGGCTCGACCGATTCCACGTACGACGGCAACGTCCGAAGCGACAACCGCCGCCCAACGGTCGCGCCGGTCAGAGAGTCTGCTGCCTCTGCAGCCGGCTTTGGCCCTGGCGGCGGCTCCCACTGCGCCCAGGTGGAGAGTGACCCGTGGGCCACTCCGTCAGCCGGTGCGAACTGGTTGGATGCTGCTTCATCACCATCGTCATCATCTCCGGTTAATCCTTGTCGGGATGGCGACCTGCGACCCGCTGCGGCAGCACCCACTGTTACAGAGGCCGCGGCGTCAAGGACGGCGTCCGCAGGTTATCCGAAGCCGGCGTCGCCGTCAGCGCCCACGTCCGGGGTAGCGCAAGGACCGGCGGCCGTGGTGGCGGGGCCGGCGGCGTCTGCATTTGCGGCCGCGGCCCGGGCATTCCCGGCGGTAGCGGCACTGCCACGAATGCCGACGGCGTCGGCGTTTCAGGTGGCGGCGCCGGTGGTGGCGCCGGTGGCGGCGCCGGCGGTGGCGTCTTCTACAGCCCCAACGGTGCGGCCATCAGTGCCTGTGGTGGCGGCGGCAACGGCAGCACTCCGTACGGCGCTCCCCGTGCACCTGGCGGCTGTTACCGCCGCGGCGCGCCCGCCGCCGCAGCCACAAATGCCACCGCCGGCGGTGGCGGTGGCGGCTACACTGTTGCAGTCTCCATCCGCCGCCGCCACACACGCACAGCCGCCCCTCCAGCGTGCGACCCCGCCAAGCCTCATGCTCCACCTTCTGAAGCGGCCTCAGTCGCAGCCGCCACCTCCCGCGGCATCGCCTCTGGCGCCGCCTGTCGCCACCACATCCCCTGGCCTCATCCACTTGGCAACACCCACCACCGCCTCTTCGTCGCAGGGACAGCCCCCGTCGAGCACGCCGTGCGAGGCCGCGGCGACACGGCCACCGTCGGGTATGGCTGCCGCGGCAGTGGCGGCGACGGCTGCGGTGACGCCCAAATCCGCAACAAAGAACGTGCAGGGCCATCAGGTCCGGGCGGCAGTAGCGACGGCTGGCGGCGGCGGCGGCGGCGAAAGGCCAATTAACAACTCCTTCCTGGCCATGCCTTGGTTGGCGGGTCGGGCAGCCGTACAGTCATTGGCGCCGGCTGGACCGCTGGTTGCTGCGGCGGCGGTACCGCCACCGCCACCGGCGCCGGTCCTGACGGCGCCGTCGGTTCCGGCAGCTGCGCCGGCGTCGACAGGTACCCTAGTAGCGGTGGCGGCGCCGCCGCCTGGTGCGAATACTTCGGCCACACCGGAAGCCGCCCGGATGGCAGCAAGTCGCGGTGGCTCAGTGGCGGCGGCGGCGGCGGCGGCGGGACATACTACTGCTGCGACCGCCCCGGCGTTTAGGCCGGCGGTGCAGCCTCAAAGCGACGGCGGCGGCGAGGCGGACATCTTGTCCGACGTTTTGGGTCTCTGCCTGGGCTAGGGCACTCGACGGTCAGGGTGCAAGGGGACAGCTCTACGGGCTGCTTGGCTCCGAAACGCCGCGGCACTGACGGCACCAAAGCCACTGTACGGAATATGTATGAGTCAGCCGCTACCGACGCGTGCAGTGGGGTGTTACGGCACAACTCGGCGCGGCGCTGAGGTGGTGGAGGAGCCGATGGCGGTGTACGGCATTGGCGCAACGCCACGTCAAGTAGTCCGTAGCGGTACGTGAGACACAGCTGAATGCGCGCAGCAGTACACCCCACATACTCGGCGGACTGGAGTGCAGCAGTAGCAGTTAAGTAGCTGCAGTAGCAGCAGTGTGGTGTACTGCAATCACAATAGCGGCAGTAGCGGTCGTTGGGCTCCAGGTTCCAGCAGACAGCGGCAACAGCAGTAGCAGTATCAGGAGGAGCAGAGATTGCAGCTGTGAATAGGATGCGGCCTATAGTTCAATATGGCAGGCCATGCGGTTGGGGGCAGCAGTAGCAGTAGCAGCAGTAGTGGCAGAGCGATGGCGGCGAGAAGGCCGGACACCGTCGCCGTGGGGGATGATGGTAGTGCACTGCTCGGGAGGCAGCCGTATCGGGGGGGGGGGCATAGGGAGGAGGTGTTGTGGAGCAGACAGCACCCGGAAAGTTGTTAAAGTGTCCGCACCACATGCGAGTGGTAATCAACAACCGTGTTAAGAAAGACGTTTGTCAGAAGATGATGGGGGGCCGTCTGTTGGGTGGTACAATTAAGTTCGGCATTTGAAGGATGTGCGGAATGAGAAGTTGTCGACGGGGGGTTGGGGTAGTTCTTAGGGTGCGCATGGCGTTTCTTCTCTGTATGTGTATGTGTGTGTGCATGTGCATGTGTATGTACGTGTTACAGGTACCTGACGGGGCCTGACGACACCGGCCAGAGAGGGACTGATACTGACCAGTCCCAACGGAAAGACCGCCTAAGCTCTCTCCCGCGGACGGGGGAGGGGCGCGAGGGGCCCTCTGGCCCCTCCTAAGCAGCCCATAGCCGCAGGTCCGCTAGCTCCGCTCTCCTTTCCCCCCGGGGGGGGGTGAAAGGGGAAAGCATCGCACGCGCACACGCTCTCACGAGTCAAGAGGCTTTGTCACGTGCGTTTGTGTGTGTGTGTGTGTGTGAGCATGTGCGTCAGTGTGTTATATTGATGTTTGGAGCTGCGACGAGGGAAAGGGCGAATATGGTGGTACACGAGGATAACTTCATATCGAAACGGGGTCCGTAGCCACCAGCGACTTGTGTAGGGTTTTTCGTTTGCCGTTCCTTCAATGTCTTTTGTAAGTTGCTGCGTGACTTGAGTGTTGGATTGAGGTCTCTGAGGGGGCTGAGGGGGCTCATACGTACATACAGACGTACATACAGACAAACAGACGTACATACAGACAGACGTACATACAGACAGACATACTGTACAGGCGACCAGGTGGACAAATAGCGGAGGGTGCAGCTGTGGTCTCCTTTCCCATTTCCCCTCCCCCTGGCGTGTGGATGTCCTTTGTGTAGATATGGCCGCATATGTGCCCCCGCTGGAGCTAGAGCGGGTGCGGGTGCGGGTGCGAGTGCGAGTTTCCAGTGTTTCGATGAGCACGTGTCACTTTTTGGCTCCTCTCCCCTGACAGTGGGGCAGTGCCTGGGGCCAGTGCTGCCATTCGGGGATGACGCAAGTTTACTGGGCCTGTAACCTGTCATCGGGACAAAAGACCTGTGGCATCCTAGTTGATTCTTTTTCCTCTTTCTGTATTTTTTCTTAGCTGAAGGCGGTTCCACGAGGGAGACCCTGTTTTGGTGAAGGAAAGGAAATCTGGATATACGGCGGATGAGCGGGGGAAGGCCATTGCCCCGGGGGGAGGTCCAGTCAGCGGACTGCCTGGCGTGAAGAACACGGCATGATTGCTGTGATCTCCAGGCTAGCTGCAGGTTCCTCTCTCATGCAATGCATGATGTGTGATACGATAGAAGGTAAAGGCTCAGCCACATCTTTAGGTTTTAGGGCTTCGAAACCCCGTCTGGGTTTTAGGAAGACACCGTCACCAAGTACAGGACGCGGCACTAACCGAAAGGTCAGGCTTGAAATCCTGATTGATCAGGAATCGATGGACTATTACTTTTGCAACCTGTTAATTGCTCCTCATTGATCCTTCTCTTCTTATATCGGAAACGTCTGACGTCAGCTGAAAGGGTTTGTCATATGTCAACCATTGCTTAAACGTCATCGCGTGATCCGTACTCACTACTAACTTATTGTGGGGAAGGCCATTGCGTCTGCGACCACACTCCCGCGGTACCCAAACCCTTCAAAGACAATTCCGATCAGCCATTTGGCTGTTAGTGGGAGGGCGGGTGGGCCGCTCGCACGGCAATCGAGTAGAGAGTACGAAAATAACCTAATGCAGTCATCGACAGCAGAAAACGTAAGCCTCCAGCCTCATGCCGACTCTCTTACCTACCATTCATATTCTCTACCTCGTTCCCAAGACTCCGCCGCGTTGCCTCTAGTTCGGCTCGTGCCACAGGTAACTTCGCTCGTCGCTACTTTGCCATTCACCTTCGCCTCCACCCAGCCTCTGCTTCTCCACAGAAGCGGCGACCTCCTTCGCCGTTGTTACGCCTCGTCTATGCGAATCCTCCTCATCCGACTGTGTCTTCTGCCTACCCGGTGCGCGCCCCCTCTCTCTGCGCATCCTTTTCTCTGGCCCTGTCTTACGGTTGCCTACCTTACTGCAGGACTCGCCCCTTGCCTGTCCGGTGCCGGGCAGGCTTTCCTTGCCTTCCCCGGCCCTACTTGGGGCGCCCCTCCTCGGCTCGTCAACTACCTTACTTCCGTCCGTTCCTGCCCCTCGGGGGCCCAACCCCTCCGCCCTTTCCGTGGGCCCGACGCCCGCTCTGGACTTATCTCACGCCCCCGGCCTCTCCGATGCTGCCCCCCCGGTAGGCTTGCCCGCGCCTGAGTCCTGTCTCTCCTCTCCGTCGCGCTTACCTCCCTACCTTCTTCTGCC